TTAATTATAATTCTGGAAGACTTTCCAGACGACTTATAATTAAGTCATCTGTCAAGTCTTCCAAGACTTCCAATAGAACATTGTAAAGCTGACCTGAAAATTCGGAGAAGATATAGTCACATTCGACACAGCGATTATAGATCTGCAAAAATAGACGTGAAAAAGAAGCGCGATGAGAACGACGGTGAGAACGATGTTTTGTGTTCTTCTTTAGATATAACTTACCGGCGGCGGATTTCAATGAAACGCCTCTAAGAGAAATGGCGCTAGGGTTTACAGAGAAACGGCACTAGGGTTTCCTCTCAGATCTGAAATAGAGGAAGCGGCGGTGAGAACGGTGGTGATAACGACAGTAATAAGACGGAGAGATAACCGGCGGTGAGAACGATGGATTAGAGAGATTCGACGGAAATCGCCTTTGAAATCACTTTTGAGAGAAACAGCGTTAAGGTTTTCTGAATTTCGCAAAAAAATGAGTAAAAACAAAAAAAAACATCTTATATATGTCCAGTAAAAAATCCGGTTAGGTTTAAAAGTAAATTGGTAAAATCAAAGATTCGGTCTGGTTTGGAAGTATTATTAGTAAGTCGTCTGCCTTAAATATATTTACCAGGCGACTTAATAGTAAGTCGTCCAGACCTTAAACCCTAAACCTTAAACTAAATTGACTAAATTAACTAACTAACCACGTTATAAAATCAAATTATACTTAAATATTGTTTACTATACACAGAAATAAACACACTTAGGTAAGTTTTAAATTTTTCAAAAAAATATTTATGCTTTCGAAAATGTAACCCTAAGAAACACATACAATACTACAACATATATTGGCAAAGCCTAAACCAAAGAATATCATGACTCACTACTTTCACTCATCTATGTTGAAAACAATTAAATTTTGTTATATCTTAATTTATATCTCTTAAAACATATATTAATTACATGATTTCAATTTTTCACTTATCAAAATATTTTTTACAAAAAGGTTAAACTATTTTTAAGAATAACTATACTAGACGACTTTCAACTAAATCGTCAAGACGACTTAATTGAAAGTCGTCTGGACAGAATAGTTGCGGGGGTTAGAAACGTAAAAAAAAAATTGGATATTTTCTTTGTTCACAAGGGGCTCGCTGTAATTTCAATAGATTTTTCGGTTACTTTTTTATTTGATTCATGTCTGGGTTTACTTTTGCATTTGAAACCAAGTTTTGAGTCATATTTGGCAAATTTCCAAAAAAAACAAATAGGAATATATTTTTGAAAAAATACATCCGCGCGGGCGTGCGGATCACAGTCTAGTTATTAATTAAGCTATCAATACCATTGAAAGGATATCATTTTTTAATGAAATATTTAGGTTTTCCAAAATTCTCCTTAATGTTATAAAAAATTAAATTTTCTTATTAATGACATTATTGTCTTTTATTTTTTGGGCCTAAAAACTATATAATTAAGTACAATCAAAATTATTTAATGGGTTTGAATAATAAGCAATATCTTATTCAGTTTTTATTTATATTTTTATCAATCAAAAATAAAAATATTTTGTTATTCAGATCAATGAAAATCAATAATAAAAGTATTTTCGTGATAAAAAAATTTAAATAATAATAATAAAGTAAATATTGATTAAATATACTAGAATGCAAAATAAGTATGGCCATATCAATCATTAATGATTTCAAATGTATGCATAAAACATTTTCAGTCTATACTATTAAATTTTAATTTATGCCAATAAATTTATTATCATAAGTTATAAATACTAAAATTTAAGAAAGCATTATTAAGAATTTGCTATTATTCTCATATATTTTCTTTCCAGTTAAAAAAAAAATAATGTAGATTTCTAATAATAAAACATTTGTCTCAAACTGTTTTTTTTTTTAATAAACCTTGATTTGATCATGTAACAATTTATATGATCAAAATAATTTTTTTATCCATTTATAGACAAAATAACAAAAATAGTACCCTTACTTAAAAAACGCGGATCAAAAATCTAGTAAAACTTTAATTCAACAGCTCTAATGGCCCATTTAAACTAATTGGCCCAACAATGATTACGTCAAAAAATCCCGGATATTTAATGTGTGCCCGCATCGTACTATTTTGAATCTTTGTAAGGTAATCAAATCTCTTATATATTAATTGAGAATCATTACAACATTTTTTGGTAGCCATGTGTTATCAGAAGAACTAGATGATAACACGCGCAGATGCGCGGGGTGAAATTTATATATTAATAATCATTGAATACTGATTTTGATCGTTCAACTCTCATATCATAACTTTAACCGTCAATAAAGGTCGATGAGTAGGGTAATATTTATTAATATTTTTGATTTGTTAACCTATTTAAGTACATTGGACTTCAATATTATAATCCGGATGTTAAAATTCACAATTTCACTTTGATATGAAAAATTATATTTTTGAAATAATATATAATTTTTGAATGCCGCGCTTGCGCGGAATGCACAATAATTATGTATGCAAATCATTTATACATATTATTATTTATACTATGTTCATTCACGTATTATGCAAATAAGTATATTAAACAATTGAGAAGCGAGTAACTATTACGTATATAGTTAAACTAGAGTAAACATATAAATAAAAACCATCCCTCTTTATATGTACAATATTATTTTTTTGTAAAAAATCAAAATAATTAGTTATTTATTTTACATGGTATATAATTAAAATTAAATGATATTAAAAAATTATATAAGATATATTAATATAAATATTTATTAATTGAAGTTCGTACTCATATGATTTAACTAACATTTTTATATTTACTTTAACAAATATTATTTTTATTTATATGCATTTTTATTAACCGATGCTTCTTACTCAAAGCAAATTTTTAAATTAACATTTTTATGTATTATATATATATATATATATATATATATATATATATATATACTCCGAATATTTATATGGTTTTATGATCATTTGTATTTTGTTTTAACAAAAATTTAAATCATTGATCAAAAAAATTTCAATGTTGACTTTTAACAATTTTAGTAATTTATAACTGTTTAAAAAATTCAAATATAGCTATATAAGAAACAAATCTTAAATTTTTAATACAATATTAATATGATTGTTTAATTTATTTTAAAAATGTAAAATTAAAAAAAAGGATGGAGGATAGAAAATTGTTATCAAATCTTTAGCTAGTACCATAGTTTTTATTTAAGGAAATAATGGAGAATATTCTTTTATACACTACCAATTAATTGCATAGTTAATTTAATAAAAAGTATAATATATATTAAAATAGACCCTAATTTTTTTAAAGATTCTAAGAATCAACGTAGGGATGACACGTGACTACCAAAATATGTTGTAACGCACTAGGATTAATATATAAGGGGTTTGTAAATCACTTGAATCACTTGAACTATAATTAAGTAATAATTTACTGCAACTGTGGGATCTTAGTTTCTTAGTCTTTTTTTTATCTTTTTACTTTATTTAACAGTAACTAAATTGAAAGTAAAGATTATAAATTTGATGGACAACAATGATTTGAAATTCTTTACAACTTTTTTATTTTTAATTAAAAAGAGTTGTGTTCAACGAGGACATATTAATTTGATGAACACTAAATATGGAAGAATATAAAATATTTTCTTTCATGCTTCTGTTTTGTTTTTTATTTCTTATTTTCAAAATTTAGAGCTTTGATATTAATTCCAAATTTGATCATTTTATTAGATGATATAAGCCTTTTTTGTTTTTTTATTCTTTTAATTAAGTATTATTATATTTTTAGGCCATTATTAGATTATTTATTATAATTATACTAATGATGCTCTATGAATTATTCTCATATTCTAAAAAAAAATTACTCAGAATATTAAACAACATTAAATGTAAATATCCATATTACAATTAATTTTCAATCATGTCACCATTGTTAGTATGTCATGTCATTATTTTTTCTTTTAAACAAAAGTGGTGATGGCATAAGACAAATCACTTCTCAAATGATGTTTATTAGGTGTTTTCATACACTATGTGCAGCTGATAAATTTTTAAATTTTGTTCGATTTAAATAATTTTGTTAATATTTTAAATTTTAATATTTTATACTAATATTTTAGTATAAATATTATATATTAATTTAATTAAACATTAAAGTAAGATAAAATAAATGATTTGATTTATTTAAAATTATAATTTAGATAGTTTTTTGTTTATTTCTTTTGGTTAAGTTGTTAAAATAAATTAAATTCACTTGTATAAAATAAAATGAGATAAATTTTTATAATTTTCAAATATAAAACTAAACAGAATTTATAAAATTTGTAGATATCAAAAAGAAACAAATGATACTATGATTAAGAATTTAACTTTTTTTTAAAAAAAAAAGCTCATATACAATTTTGAAACTTTTTTAATAATTAAAATTTGTTGATTATAAAATATTCTTAAATAATATTTCTAAAAATTTAAAATATTTTATATTCCATTATTATATAAATTAGTGACATATTTGAATATATTTATTTTAGCGATAATTTATGAATATGGCCATATTGTCAAAGTTACCAAAAGTTAAAATCAATATTAAATATAATAGTCCATGTCATATTTAGTGACAAGTCATGTCATCAATTTTAATATTTCACTAAAAGTTTCTCTGCGGCATGCACAGAAATAATAATTTTAAATATAATATTATTTTATTAATAAATTTATTTTTTTTTACACTATTTTTATATTTTCATTTTAGCGGTTTGAAAAAAACCCATAATTGTATTTCTGTGATTTCCTATTTTATTTAACTCTTTTAGTTTGATTTTTTTCAATAGAATTAAAATTATATTTTATAAAAATTATTTGCATTTATATTATACTATTTTAATGATTATTTATTTAAAATATATTATTGACTCCTTATTTTAAAATATATTTTTATTTTATATATAAATTTTAATAATTTTTGTAGTTTTGTTTGATTTTATTAAAATATGTTAAACTATAAAAGTATATGAACTAACCTAATAAATGGATAAATTTAAAAATAAAAGATATATGATTTTAGTATCACTTTTTATTTGATTAGTATATTTGCATATACAAAATATGATATATAAGTTGATGTAAATATTTTTTATTTTATTTAGTTAACTTTTTATTAATGTTATATCTATATATTATTTTAATGGTGATATATTAATTATTAGTTATTACTAATATATTTCAAAAGTATCGCTAAATAAATATTTATATATAAATATATTAGTTAGATTAGTGTCATGTTATATTTTTAAAGTACATGTCATTCTTTTTTTTTTCTGTTGATAGTAAATGTGGTAATGACACATAAACAAATTATTTTGCAAATAATATTTGGGATGTCACAGTTTTGGTAAGCAGATTGATAAATAATTGATTGTTTAATGAACCGTTTGATCAAGCGTTATACCAACGGTTCGATGGGTTTCTATTTGTTTCCCCCCATGTGCTCGTGGAGAAGAGCTGCTGCCGAAGCTTTCATCGATGGCGATGAATCCGATGTAAAAAATTGTACGTGGCTAAACCTATATGATCGAGTGTGATGTGTTCATATGTAAGTATATATGAGCATAAAGAAAAGAGACACAAAGATTTTTTAATGAGGTTCGTTTCCTACATCCCCGAGACCACGTCTAGAACTCATTCACTAGAAAAGGCCGCAACAAACCATTGCTATATGGTATCCAGCACACACCCGTGCCTACCACTCTAATCTAGAATTACAATGAAAAAGGAACTACTACTCTGACAAGTATAGTTCTCCATAACAAAACTACCAACAGATCTCACCATCTGTCTGGTAGGACGACGTTACACACATCCATGTGCATCTTCAATAAACTCTAAATGCGTAGCCTCTTTCTATCATGCTTTGTTCTCTTTATACTTGAATAAGCAGAACCCTAGCTCATTAAGCCCATTAATCATTTTTAATATATATTTCGTCAGCCAAATATATGGGAATATTTCATATCACCGCATCTTGATTATTCATTTTTATTCTTCGAAGCGTGTGCCACACACCATTATCTGTGTGTAACACAAGTACGCGAACCAAAGCTCCAACACTGTATCAATCCACCAAGCTCCAAATTCTTGAGCTTACTCGACGTTTCGGCTTTTCTCTTCTTCGAACTATAAGACCTCATCTCAAGGTTTAGGGTTCTTCAATTCACCAGAACCACCTCGTCCTCCACAGCCTCCTCCTGTTGAAGTATTATCGTCCGAGGCATCGTCTTCCTCTGTTGCTTTCACAGTGGATAAAGTGAATATCGGCGACGTCACTATTTTGAAGGTGAGCTCCTTTTTGTTCAGTTAAATGTTAAACCATTGAAGTGAGTTTGTTCAGTTTCTGCTTTGGTTCTTAGGGTCGTGTGAACACTAAAGAGGTCTTTGGATTGCCTAATTCTGATTTGGTTTCTGGTGTATATGAAGGTAATAAACTCATCCTTCCTTCTTTATCATATGCTTCTTGGTGTATAACTGATCCTTCTTGATATATATAGGATGGCTTAAGCTTTGGGAAGGATCTATAGATCTTGTCAAAGCTCTTGAGAAAGAATCACAAACTGGAAACATTTCATTCCCCGGTAAATGCGTCCTCGAGGTAACCGAATTCAACAACCACATGTTCGTGTTTTCTCTAATTCACACTTAAGTCGTTGAATCTATGGTTTCACCTTGGATGTGGTCATGCACTTCCAGGAATCTATGTGTATCTCAAGGTAAGCTGATTCTTCTGATGCTCTGTGGTTAAAACCATGTTTTTAGATCTTTTTAAAATTCTTTGTTTTCTTTGGTGTCCACGGTGCAGATGCAGTTCATTTACAGGACTTCAATGCTGAGGTCCTCTGATGTCTCACCATCCCCAATCTGAATGCTAATATGTCCGAGAAGTCTCCATATGTCTCAGTTGGGGATACAGAAGTACGCTTCTTTGCTGAGGAGTGGAGTGAAGTTCATCAGCTTCTTCCTCTTCTATCATCTATTTCACGGTTCGGTTTAATTTTAGAATTATTTTCAAAATAAACCGAGTTTTATAGTTATACATGTAAATGCACATTCGTGATATTACTGTTTCCCTAGCGAAATATATCAAATCGATTTTGGACCTACATGTTTTCCAATTGAACCTAAAGCTGCCACGTCAGCTTAATTGGCATGTTAATTATTACAAATTTGAGGTTACATCTTTTCAAATGTTTCTCAATTAATATATCGGAAATGCTTCTCAAATTTACTAGAGAAAATATTGATCCTTATAAACATATAATATACTTTTATTAAGCTAAGCTTAAAACTATTATTAATGCTAATCATTATTTCCTTAAATAAAATTTACGGAATTACCTAATATGGTTGTAATATATATATATATTACAACCATATTAGGTAATTCCGTAAATTTTATTTGAATAATTAATAATTAATAATTTAAATATGAAAGATTTGATAAAAAACAGTATAGCTTCTACTCTTTTTGTTAAAGTTATATTGTGAAAGTAAATTAAGCAATAACATTAACTACATAAGAAAAAAGAAGTTAGATTTTTTATATATGTTATCTTTTGAATTTTTAAAAATGACTATAAATTAATAAAAAAATTAAAATTTCACATATAATATTTTTGATTAATAGTTTAATTTTTTTTTAAAACATGATACAAAAAATTATATGTTTAATGAGTAATAAATATTATTTAATAGATATTTAAATTAGATGTTTATATATAATATATATATATATACATTAGTGATGTTTAAATTAAACTAAATACCAAAAATACATAAATATTTAATTCCAAAATTTCATTGAACAAGTATTAAGAACTTAATACTTTAACGACAAACTTTGAATTTAATTTTTTAAATGATGATAAAGTTCTGTAAATATTAAATCTCTCACATTAAAAATAATGTTATCAATATTTTAAATTTTTGTATTATAAAAATATATAAATGATCATAAAACCATGTAAGTGTGAAGCTTCATTTATTAGATATCCAAATTAAAATTATATATATATATATTAATATCATTTATTAATTAAATTTTATTGTAAATAGACAAATATGGTTATTTTATTTAAGTGCTCGCTAAATTAATTGTATATATAATAGCTACAGATTTTTCAATTATTCAATATATATATTTATTATTTTATAATATATAAAAGAACACAAAATAAAGAATAACACAAAATAATTTATATATATATATATATATATAATTTTCATCCCGTGTAAATGCGCATGTATCCCTAGTATATTATTTGTGGAGCATTACAACATTTTTTTGGTAGCCACGTGTCACAACGGAAATGATATTCAGAACTCTTAGAAAAATATGTTAGTCCAACTAAACATATGTTATATTTTTATCAAACTAACTATTATATTTAATTAGTAGTGTACAAAAGATTATTCCCTATTATTTCCTTAAATAAAAGATATGGAATTACCTAATATGATACACATAAATATCACAATTAATAATTATGAATAATAAAGATTTGATAACAAATTTTTATCCTCTCTATTTTTTATTTAATTTTATATTATTAAAAAAATTAATGGTAACATTAGTTTAACCAATAGTTTTTTAATGGGTCTTGAACAATTTTTAATGATTAACTAAATGGATTACGTACATAATAGTATGTGTTTTGGTTTAAAAATTATTGCATACCCAAAAGCAATATGAACCATCCTCCCTTTCGTCTAAAAACTTGTCACTCGGATACCTGAATTATGGAGTTGGACAAAAAACCTGAATCCAAATAACGAGCCAAATCTAATCCAAAAATTAATACATATATTTAACTAAAATTGGTTAGATATCCAAAGGGATTCAAAATTTTGGTATCTAGATAGTCGAAATTGAATCGAAATATTTCACGTATCCGAGTGTACTCGAACAAGATTTATATACTTAAATATATTAATTATTTTTAAATTTAACATCTAATATAAAATACATGAGATGTTTTTAAAATTTCAAATGTACATTTTAAAAATATCTAAAGGATATTCCAAATACCGAAAATACTTGAAATATTTATTGATTTTTTTCTAAATATTTAAGATTTTTTTGTTAAGTTTCAGTATTTTGGCATTCATTTTTCAAATTTATATGTTATATATTATTTTAAATTTTAGATTTTGAGAAATTTAAAATATATATAAACTTTAATCTTTTTAAAAAAATTAAATGGGTTATCTGAATCTAAATTCAAACCCGAACCTGCGAAGATTCGAACCAAACCCGCAAATATGTAAACCAAATAGAATCTAACCGAATCAAATGGTACGCGAATATCCATCCCTAATCAAATGTAAAAAAATGATTATTGATAACAAAATATGTATTTAAATACACTATATTTTTCTAAAACCTCACCCCGCTCATGGCGCGGATTATCATCTAGTATAAAGAAAGAAATATTAATGATTTAATGTTGGTTTAACTATAAAGTAGAAATATGTATTTTTAAAAAACTTACAAAATAAATGTTACTTCCGACCTAATGTTTCTGATTTAAAAAGATAGATAGGAGATACGATAACACAATTTCATAACCAAGAAACTTCACTGAGAAAACAATTATAAATAGTAAACCGTATGAAAAGTCAATTCCAAATAAAGGTTGGTTATAACCAAAGACAACAAAACTCAGTAGTAAATGAAGATATGATTAGAATGCATAACAGATAAAAATGCATAACAGATACATATTAAGTGATATTTTTTGGATAACAGATAAAATTTAAGTGAATTCATCGTGGTGTTTATATAGAATGCATAACATATACAAATCTTTATATATATAAAGAACACTTTTATCCCTCCTTATGGTGCCATCTCATCAAATAATGTATTTTGGTGTTGACATCTGTCCCTCATCAAACGCAGCGTTCTTATATTAAGGTATATACAATAAAACTGGGATGTGTTCTTTGTGTGTGCTTCAACTCAATCATGTGTATCATCCAATAAAATCAACTCTGCAATGAAACGCAGTGTTGTTATCTAGGTGTGCCCGTGTTCGTCTTCGCCTCTTCCAGGGTGCATGGTTATTTGGATTTCGCAAGCGATCTTCCATCTTCTTCATCAGAAGTATACCAGTTACGGAATAATACCGTAAAAAGGTGAAGCTCCTGCTATGAGAATCATTCTCTCATCTTTATATATATAAAGAACACTTTTATCCCTCCTTATGGTGCCATGTCATCAAATAATGTATTTTGGTGTTGACATATGTCCCTCATCAAACGCAGCGTTCTTATATTAAGGTATATACAATAAAACTGGACTGTGTTCTTTGTGTGGGCTTCAACTCAATCATGTGTGTCATCCAATAAAATCAACTCTGCAATGAAACGCAGTGTTGTTATCTAAGGTATGCCCGTGTTCGTCTTCGCCTCTTCCAGGGTGCATGGTTATTTGGATTTCGCAAGCGATCTTCCATCTTCTTCATCAGAAGTATACCAGTTACGGAATAATACCGTAAAAAGGTGAAACTCCTGCTATGATAATCATTCTCTCATTCCTTTTAAACCAACCAGTAAACTAATTATGTGATCTATGGTTAACTTTTCACTGTTTCGGTCTTCCTCTCCGCGAGCCGCTCCTCCTCCACTGTTCAAATCTGATTGATCCGGTTCAGGGAGGCCAGGAATATCCTCCATGTTGGAGAGCTCATGGGAGTGGACATGCTCCTACTTGATTCTCAGGTATCTTCTTTCACTCAGCCTTTAGTTCAGAAAAGAGTTATTTCACGTGTAGATTTTTTAAACGTGTAGATATCTACTTGCTTAGATTACTGTTTCAGTTCTTATCTATCGTTTGTTGCTCTCAATGTCTCATATCAGACCTCATATGAATCTTGGTTTTAGTATAAAGATGAACTCTTTGATATTGTGATTTTTTTTTGTGGCATTGTTTAACGTTTCATATTAATCTTTGTTTTGTATTTGCTCATTAAATCTGGTGTGAGGTTTTTTTCCTGAAGCCAGCTTCCCGGTGTGTCAACCTGCATTATTATGAATCTTGAAGTTAAATGATCATATACACTATACAGCTAACTATCCAATCTCCTTTGAAGCGTAGTTTTTTTTTATAAAAAAATTGGGATTTAGTGGAGGATTGCATATGATTTCCCTACCATTGTATTGCTTTAGCTGTCAAGTTTAATTTATGTTCTGAAGTAGTTGTGATTCTTCTTAGCTAAATCGTGTAATGATATGATTTTAGGACATGTTTAATGTTCTTTCATTATGCATTTGCTTTTTCTGTGTTTCAGATGTTAGACTCTAATATTTTAGTTTTTTGGTGACTGGTTTACTACATAGCCAAAACCAAGCTATATATATAATAATCATAGTGTTGGCCTAAAAGAAGTCGCATGACGTATTTGAAAAATTCATGAGTTTTAGTTTTGTTTATTCCACGATGCGTAAGAGGTTACATTGTAATAACATTATGTATCGATGTTTATCTAAGTTGAATTGGAATTCTTAAAAACTATAGCTGCTGATTTCCCTGCACTTCTTATAATTTCAGTGACTAAGTTTGATGAATCGGGCGACCATCTCACGTTGGACGCTTGAATGGTGAAACTTACAAATGTGCGTGCCGGAGCGGTTATCAACTCATGGTTCGTATTCTCTGATTCAACTGGTCGTTCACTATTAGGTCCCATAATGTTTCATGTAGTTAACAAGCATGTTGTTTTAATGCAGGGGGACTGGTGTGGGACACCTTGAGGAGAACGACGTACACAAATTCCTTAGAGACACTGTCGGCCCAACATGCACTCAAGAAGCCACACAAAGTATCAAAATATTGACATTAAAATCAAGAAGCCACACAAGGAT